TTAGAACATTGTGTCTCGTGTGGGGCATTACCTTTTAGGCTGTGAATACTGGGAAGAGTCCGTGATGATTGCCCATCTTATATTCTGCATATGCATGTAATATCTTGCTATTAACCTGTCTCCAATCTATTTAGAAGATCTGGAAATAATTTATACCCCTTTTGAAGCTGAATTCTGTATCTTGGATTAACGTTAGGATAACCTGAGGTTCTTGATCTTAAAATGTTTCACAAATACACTGTCTGATAAATAAGTTAAGAAAAAAAAACCTAAATATAGTTATACTGACTATTCTGGAGAATTAAGTTAATTGTCAGTTATGGGCTAAAACATCGCTAAACATTAAAACATACAGAAAATATCAAACACAGTAAAAATATCAAAAACAGTAAAAATGCAAAAAACACAAAATTCTCAATCCATGAGTCAAAACTCTGAAATTACCAAGATCAAACTGTCACAAAGGCTCAACATGTTCCAGTAATATGCATTTTACAATTAGAAATGTGGTAAAAATGAAGAATGAAAGATTTCAAAGCAAGTAAGCAATCTATAAGCGACTTTAGACACTAAATTAGAAAAGGAACAAGGTGCTAGAAGTGAAGTGAAGAGTGATCATTTTAAAGAGTGGGAAACGACAAGCAAGCTTTTGTGGTGAGAAAAGTTTATTTTCATGGACTACATTGAATGAAACGACACAGTAGAAGCATTTTTGTGTGGTCTTACTCATATTTCCACTGGACAGGAACCATACTGGTCCCACCATATGCTTTGCAGCCAAACATGACAAAATGTGACTTTAAGAAAAAAAAAAAAAAAAAAAAAGCGCGCACACACACACATACACACACACACATATAATTGTTTATTATTTAAATTTCAAGACAAGTCTTACATTCAGAATAAAAACCACACATTAGTTAAGTATTGAAAAACAGAGCCAAGTATGCATGAGCTTAACTTTGGTCTAAATATTTTCTTAATCTTCCTTGATGAGTTTTAACTTAAAATGTTTCCACTTAAAACTTAATTTAAATTTTAATTCATTAGGCAGCTCTATTTTACAGTCTATTATATAGTACTTTGATACTATGTGATTTGATAATTAGAAGAACATGATTTGTATTTTTATAATATAATACGATCTAAATTTGAGAAAAATGTGAAAAATCCTCAGAAAAATCTCTTTACCTAGTATCCAATAGTTTCAGCCTCTTTGCTCACAAAATCTTTTTCCAGAAACATCAAACGGAGGCAGGAGGATTGTTCTGAGTGTGAGACAGGGTGAGCTACAAAGTGAGCTCAAGGCCAGCCTGAACTGTACAGTGAGACCCTGTCTGAAAGCGCGTCCGCGTGCGCGCGAGCGCCCGCGAACACACACACACACACACACACACGCGCACACACACACACGCACACACACTGAAAGAAAGAAATATATTAGGATTTCAGAGTCTTATTAGGTTCTTTTTTCATTAATTTTATTGAGAAACAAATAGCAATGAGACAGTTGCAAAACAGGTTAGTAGGATGTTACAATAATTAATACCTTTAAAAAAAGAAAAAAAAATTAATACCTTGCCTTCATAGTAGTTATTCATAGTACAAGATGCAGACACGATATCCTGTCCAAACACTATTAGTACAAATCTTTCCTCTCATTGAATTAAGAGAAAGTAGCATATATCTATCCTATTTTGTATACACTGATATATAGATATAGATATAGATATAGATATAGAGATAGAGATAGAGATAGAGATTATATAATAGGACCATTTGTAGTCTTATTAGGTTCTACTTACATTTTTTTTTTTTCTGTAGGCACTGGAGAGAAGCAAAGATGAACAGTGTCAATGCATTAGCACTTAGGAATTGACTATGTTCAGAGTGGTCTGTTTTGTTTTGTTTTGTTTTTTAATGTTAACAGTTTGGGGAGTTTTTTGTTTTGTTTTGTTTTTCTGTATTTAGGGCAGGGTCTACACAGTCTCACTACACAAATTGGACTCGTAGTGATCCTCCTGTTCTCAGCCTTCCGAGTGCTGGTATTACAGGCGCGCGCCACCATGCTCAGTCTTAATCGCTGTCTCAGCGTGCCCCCGGGGCGGGGCTGGCACACAAACTGGGGACCAAACCCCAGCCGCTGCACTCTGCCTGAGCAGGCACTCTAGTCTGCTGAGCTATCAGGCCCGCCCGCTTTTTCTGTTTTTAAATCAAACATAGCAATCACTATTTCTCCCTACCTTTCCGTCTCCTTTCTTCATACTCCTCATGAGACACATATTAGACCCTCGTGGCTTTTTGTCCGAATATTTTTATTAGCACATGTTTACAGTGTGTAATGATTAGATTGATTGTGGGGAGTTTGTACTTGTACATAACACATCTTAATTCTTCTTTATCTCTTTCCCTCTCAATTTCCTCCCACTTCCCTCCAACTCTTGTTCCTCTTCCCATTTGAAATAGCTCTATTTCCATTTTTAAAAAAAAAATACAAAGTAGTGATAGAAAAAACAGCATTAGAAATGATACAGGGGCCAGGGAGATGGCTCAGTAGAATAAGCGCTTCCCTGGCAAGTGCAAATGCCTGAGTTCAATCCCTGGTTGTGTTGGGGGTGGGGGGGAGAGAAGCAAGCAAGCAAACAAGAAAGAAAAAGATACAAAGTTTCACTAAGCAAAGTAATAGGAATTCAATAGTGGTTAACTGTATTACATGATGTTATCTTCAAATTAGTTTGAACTACCAGATAAAAATGTGCAAGATTAGTTTTTTTTTCTTTTGAATTTCTGACAACATTTTTGTTATTGTTTTGTTTTGTTTTGTTTTTCTTTCTTTTTTTTTAATTTTAGGGAAGAGTCTATAAGATGCTCAGGTCTCACTACTAGACCCGATTCATAGTGATCTGCCTGTTTACAGCCTCCCAAGAGCTGAGATTACACGCGCACGCCACCACACACCACCATGCCCAGTCTCAATTGCTGTCTCAGCATGCCCAGGGGCAGGGCCAGCACAGCAGGCCTGGGGATCCAACCCCCAACCCCTCTGCCTGCTTTCAGGCACTTTAGTCCACTGAGCTATTTGGCCCTATGTTTTATTGTTTCTTTAAACAAATCTATTTCCATTCTTTAAATTCTATTTTAACCCAGTTTCCCTTTCTTACCTCTCCCTTCCCTAAATCTCTTGCTCCCCTTCACATTTAAAAAAGAGCAAAATAAAAGATCCAATCAGTAAATGGCAATCAAATTGAAGGCACTTCTCAAAAGAAGTACAAAAAGTCAATAAACACATGAAAAAAGAATTAACATTGTTGGCTATAAGAGAGGTGTTAATTAATAAAACACTGAGAGATTATCTTGCTCCAGAAAAAAACTGGCTATCATCAAGAAATAAAATACTGTGATAACTAACATTGGCAAGCCTGTTCAGTGTGGGGAATGCTTCTGCGTTGTTGGTGGTCACATAAACTAGTGTGACCACTATGGATATTAGTATCGAGCTTCTTCTGTATGTTTTGGAATACTTAGTTTTTACATTTTTCCCCTCTGTGCTATATCCTTGACTCTTCAGACCAATATTTTACTTCACCAATTCTCTCTTCAAAGGTACCTAAATACAGTTTTGCATATGTATTACTTAGAGCTCTCGAAAAACAAAACCAATGGAAGACAGACAGATACACACACACACACACACACACACACACACACACACGTAATTTATTACAGAAATAATTCATTTTTGTAATAGTAATATAAATAATTCTGACTCACACAATTCTGGAGACTGAGTAGCCCTACATTCTATAAGATGGAGAATCAGAAAATGGTATAATTCAGCCAAAGTCCAAAGGCTTGATAATCAGAATAGAGGCTTATGGTATAAGTACCTATCTGAATACAAAGGCCCAGAAGCCAAGCATGTCAATGTCCAGGGGTAGCAGGAAATGAAATAGATGTTCTGGCTCAAACAAAGAGATTAAATTCATCATTCCCTTGTTTTCCTACATGAGTTCTCAAAGGACTGGAGGTTATTTGTTTCTACTGATGAGGATAGTCTTATCATTCAAACCCTAATAACTAATGGAAAAACCCTTGAAGACACACCTGCAAAGAATGTTTCACCAGTTATCTGGACATCTTTCAGTCCAATCTAATTGACACATGAAAACCATCACATTTACCCATCAGGTTTCATATTTTCAGGAACTACATTTTTCATTTCTACAATCTTTCCAGTTATTTTTGAAATCTACCTCTTCTGTGTCTTATATTCTTATTTAATTTCTTTAAAGATATTAGTTGGTGAAGTCTATTTACCATTAAACCATGGAAAAACAAAATTCTCACCAATGGAGTAGGTTATATGGATCTTAGGACATTACCTCCTCACCTCAAACATGCCTAAGTAAAATAGTACAATCAAATGAAGTTAAATAACTGAATTATAAATTAAGAATGTCAAAAAGAAAGAGTTACTGAGTTGAGCAGAAGGACAGGAGAAGCAGTGGGGGGAAAGATATTTATATATGTATGTAGGTGGGGTGGTTTGAACAACTGTATTGTGGATTTCCGCTGGTCTGTAGAAAGGAGCAGTTAATGCTTAAATTGTTTTGTCTCCTTTTTTCAGTTGTTTATCTTTTTTCTCTTCTTAATTTCTTATACATTTCTTTATTCTTTCAATTTTGCATGCATATATCTTGTAATACGAATAACTAGTTGGAAGACAACACTATACAACAAATACTGCGAAATTCATATTTTTAAGTGAAATTCTGTATCACTTGTAATTTTCTGTTTTAATACCTTTGGTAGTCTTTTTAAAAACTAAAAAAAATTAAATGATAAATTAAGAATGGGGAGTCTCTAGCTGTAGCTGGCTGCCAGGCGTACACACTTCCGAGTCTTCAGAACCCGCGGCCGCCATCTACAGCGCTTAGGTTTCTTCTAGGCTTATCTGCACCACTTGCTCACCACACACTCCACCACTGTAAACTGCCATCATGGTAAAGCTCTCAAAGGCTGGTAAAAATCAAGGTGACCCGAAGAAAATGGCACCTCCCCCAAAGGAGGTAGAAGAAAGTGATGATGAGGAAATGTCAGATGATGAAGAAGACGACAGCAGTGGAGAAGAGGTTGTCATCCCTCAGAAAAAAAAATAAGAAAGCTGTTATGACTCCAGCAAAAAAAGTAATGGCTTCTCCAACCAAAAAGGTGGCAATTGCCACACCTGCCAAGAAGGCAGTTGTCACCCCAGGGAAGAAAGTGGTGGCCAAGAAGACAGTGACTCCCTCCAAGGCAGTTGCAGTGTCTGGCAAGAAGGGAGCCATACCAGGTAAAGCTGTTGTCGCTGCCCCAGGTAAAAAGGGCACTGCTGCCACAGCCAAGGGGGCAAAGAATGGCAAAAATGCCAAGAAGGAAGACAGTGATGAGGATGAGGAAGACGACAGTGAGGAGGAAGACGAGGATGAGGAGGATGAGGATGAAGATGAAGAATTTGAGCCAAAAGTAATGAAAGCAGTGGCTCCAGCCCCCTCTTCAGAGGATGAAGATGAGGAGGATGAGGAGGAGGAGGAGGAGGACTCTGAGGAAGAAGCCATGGAAACAACACCGGCCAAAGGGAAAAAAGCACCTGCAAAAGCTGCCCCTGTCAAAGCCAAGAGTGTGGCTGAGGAGGAGGAGGACGAGGATGAGGATGAAGACGATGAGGATGAAGATGAGGAGAGGAGGAGGACGACGAAGATGAGGATGACGAGGAGGAGGAGGAAGAGCCCGTCAAAGAAGCACCTGGCAAATGAAAGAAGGAAATGGCAAAACAGAAGGCAGTTCCTGAAGCCAAGAAACCAAGAACGGAAGGCACAGAACCCACTACAGCGTTCAATCTCTTCGTTGGAAATCTGAATTCTAACAAATCTACTCCTGAACTAAAAACTGGTATTAGTGAAGCTTTTGCTAAAAATGATCTCACTACTGTGGATGTCAGAATTGGTACAAATAGGAAGTTTGGCTATGTAGACTTTGAATCTGCTGAAGACCTGGAAAAGGCCTTGGAACTCACCGGTTTAAAAGTCTTTGGCAGTGAAATTAAATTAGAGAAGCCCAAAGGAAAAGACAGCAAGAAAGATCGAGATGCAAGAACACTTTTGGCCAAAAATCTCCCTTACAAAGTCACTCAGGATGAATTAAAAGAAGTGTTTGAAGATGCCGTAGAGGTCAGACTAGTCAGCAAGGATGGGAAGAGCAAAGGGATTGCTTATATTGAATTTAAGACAGAAGCTGATGCAGAGAAAACTTTTGAAGAAAAGCAAGGAACAGAGATAGATGGGAGATCTGTTTCCCTCTACTACACTGGGGAGAAAGGTCAAAATCAAGACTACAGAGGTGGCAAGAACAGCACCTGGAGCGGCGAATCCAAAACTCTGTATTTAAGCAACCTTTCGTACAGTGCAACAGAAGAAACTCTTCAGGAAGTATTTGAGAAGGCAACTTTGATCAAAGTGCCCCAGAACCAAAATGGCAAATCTAAAGGGTACGCCTTCATAGAATTTGCTTCATTTGAAGACGCGAAAGAAGCTTTGAACTCTTGCAATAAAAGGGAAATTGAGGGCAGAACGATCAGACTGGAGCTGCAAGGACCTAGGGGGTCACCTAATGCAAGAAGCCAGCCATCTAAAACCTTGTTCGTCAAGGGTTTGTCTGAGGAAACAACTGAAGAGATCTTGACGGAATCATTTGATGGCTCCATTGGAGCAAGGATTGTCACCAACCAGGAAACTGGCTCCTCCAAGGGGTTTGGTTTTGTGGACTTCAATACTGAGGAAGATGCCAAGGCTGCCAAAGAGGCCATGGAAGATGGTGAAATTGATGGAAACAAAGTCACCTTGGACTGGGTCAAACCTAAGGGCAAAGGTGGCTTTGGGGGCCGTGGAGATGGCTGAGGCGGCTTCGGGGGCCGGAGTGGCGGCAGAGGTGGCCGAGGTGGATTCGGAGGCAGAGGCCGGAGAGGCTTTGGAGGGCAAGGTGGCTTCCGAGGAGACCGGGGAGGAGGTGGAGACCACAAGCCACAAGGAAAGAAGACGAAGTTTGAATAGTCCCTTCTGTCCCTGTTTATACCTGTTTGTTGGAAAGAAAGGACTCTGGGGTTTTACCCTGTTACCTGTCGATGACAGAGCCTTCTGAGGACATTCCAGGTGGTGTGCATCCTGTGGTCTGCTTGGGAGTGTAGCGATCACACTTCAGGAGAGGTGTACTTGACATACCCTGTTGGTTTGACTGGAGATTCATAAACTTTTTAAAAGAGATGAGTGATAAGAGCTTAAAAAAAATTAAGAATGGGAGGCCTTCAAGAGTTCAAAATGAAGAGGGAACTTGCAGTGTGGTGTTATGGGCTTCACTGGGACACATCCATTCATATATTAAAGTCCTAACCTCTTCTACTTCACAAAATGGCAACACAGGAAAATAAATTTGTTGCAGATTCAGTTAATAAGGGATATTATTACTTTTAATTTATTTATTTATTTATTTTGGTACTGAGGATTGGACCTGGAGGGGCTCTGCCACTGAGTTACATTACTAGCCTTTTTTCATTTTTATTTTGATCCAGGGTCTGAGTATACAGTTCACAATGTCCTTGAATTTACTATGTGACCTAAACTGGCCTTAAACTTAAAGTAATTCTCCTGCCTCTGCCTGGTGGATGCCAGGATCACAGGTATGCATCACCATGTCCAATTTCAATATAAAATGTCAAAGTCATAACATTCTATTTTGTATTTTTATCAGCTTAGCTTCAATAGAATACAAATATTCTGTCTATTTACAGCTCTATAGTAAGTACTTTTAGTTATTAATGTCACAAAATTATATTTTGTGCACTGTATGTCCAAATACATAGTTATTAATTTAAAAACATTAATCTTTTAAATTATTTTTAAAACAACAGGATTACAAACTATAGCTATAGTAATTGTAGTCCCTATACTAATTTTTTAACTTATTAGTACTTAAATCATATAGAAAACTTAAATATGGAATTACAAAGTGTTGTCACAATATTTACTCTTACCAAGTCTTCATTTTGTCATGAGATTTCAAGTACTGTCTAGTTTTCTTTCATTTTACGTTTTAGAACTTCCTTGAAAATTTCTTGTGGCTACATCTAGTGGTAAAAAATGTGCTAAGTACTGAGCAAGAAATATCTTAATTTCCTCCCTAACTTTTGGAAGACTGCTGTGCTGGGTATAGGATTCTTGGTTGACAGGGATGTTCATGTTTCTTGCTTGTTTGTTCTAGTGATAGTATTTTTAATATCAGGCATCTTCATTCTGACCTCCAACATTTGTGATATATGATATAATATCTGCTGATAAACTTATTGAGAACTCCTTGGATGTAATGCAAACATGCTTTCTTCCAACTTTCAAGATCCTCTGTCTTTCAATACTTTGATTATAATGTCTCACTGTGAATTTTTTTAAATTCATGCACATTACCTTGTGGTGAATTGTTTTGTCTTTATATTTATGTTTTAGACCAAATTTAGAGAACATTCAGATATTATTTTTTCAAGCAATGTCTCTGCCCATTTTTCTGTTCTTTTTTCTAAGAGTTTTATAGAGAAACAAATAGCACTGAGACAGTTTAAAAAACAATCAGTAGGATACTTCCAATACTAAATACAATGCACATTGTTGTCTCAGTGGTTTTTCATTGTACAAGATGCAGACATGACATCCTGTCCACAAACACTATTAGAACAAATCTTCTTATTCATTGAATTAAGAGAATGTAGCTGTATATCTATCCTATTTTGAATATACAGATAAAAAATGGTCATTCATTTGTATCACCTTTTTTTTGTTTAGTTTTGTCAGAGAAGGGTATTACACTGTCATTTAAATATTGTAGGTGCATGAATTGAGCAAAATATTCCAATATAGTCCAGTAGTACATAATAGTAGTGGGCCATTCGCAGAACTGGCAATGTCAGAAGTTGTATGAGTATATCTTCAAGTTACACCCCAGGATACCAACATAGCTTCACCCTTTCTACCTCATTTTTATACCTTTCTGCTGAAAGTCTAAGACCAAGATAAAGCAAGACCTATATAACAAGAAATGTAACTTTTGTATCTGATAAGGTCAGTCAAGTCTCCTCAGGATTTATGCTGAAACCTTGTACCACACTTTGTAGATCCTTTGTCAGTGTCATCCATGTATATGAGTCACAGGCATTGCTTGACTAATTTGCTCTCTGTGAAAGCCTGACAGAATGTTTCCTCTCCATGCGACTTTCCTTAGGCACACTCTACATCATTGCCCACGTTCCACTGTGGCCTCATAATCTCCTTGATCAGAAAATTTGGGACACAACTGAGTTACAGGATGTTGCAGGATAGGTTTTCCTATGTCCTGAGTCTTCACTGACCTTGAAAAGCTAGGGCCAACATGGTGGCTGTCCTTGCAGCCTTTCTTTTTCTCTAATTTTTGGTCTGAAAACTTAGGTAGTTAACACTCCAGAAGAGAAGCTTATTATTACCCTACTACATATGCAGTTGGGTTTAACCTCACTTTCTGTCTGAATATCAAACATCTTACATATAACATGGAACAGGTATTTTCCATCAAGTATTAATATGTTACACTTTAAGTCCCTACAGAATATGAAGGAAAAAATTTTAGAAATTAAAAAATACTAAAAAATATGAATAAATAATTACATATTTTTACACAGAAATTTAGAAATCTAACCATATAGAGCATTGTAGCAGGGTGAGAATCCTACCAATTTACTGCTAGTTGCAAAAGCCTGCTAATGTTTCTCAGGATCATTGCCTTACCCATCTTGTGCATATAAATGTATGGCTTTGCCCGTGTCATGTTTCCCAGCTTTTCTCCTTGCCCTCTCCTCACTGTCTAATCCTCAAGTTTTTGTTTTCCTTTTAATTGTCTTGTACCTTTCTATTTGTATTTCTTCTTTTGAGTTCTTACACTAAGGAGACTATATGATATTTACACATGTGGATCTGATTTATTTCACTTATGAGTATATCTTCAAGTGACATCCACTTAAATATAAATGGTTCAAGTTTTTCATTCTTTATAATTGAGTAACTCTCCATTACGTAAAAATACCACATCTTTTTCATCCATTCCTCAGGTGACAGGCATCTTGGTTGTTTCCAAGATTTGGCTATCACAAATTGTGCTGCTATAAACATAGGTACACATATATCACTATGATATGACATTTTCAGTTCCTCTGGGAAAATTCCCAGGAGGGGGATAGCTGGCTTGAATGGGATTTCCAGTTTTTTAAGGAGTCTCCACACTGCTTTTCATAATGGTTTCACCAGTCTACATTCCCACCAGCAGTAGAAAAGGATTCCTTTTTCACCACAGCCTCTCTAAAATTTGGTTTTTGGTTTTTTTGGTTTCTTTTCCCAACATTTGTTGTTGGTTGATTTCTTTATGATAGCCATTCTTTCTGGGGTGAAATATTACCTCAGTATTGTTCTAATTTGCATTTCATGGATGGCTAGTGAGGTGGAGCATTTTTTCATATATTTATTCACTTCTTTAATTTCATCCTCTGAGAAGTGTGTGTTCATCTGGAATGCCCATTTCTGGACTAGGTCTTTAAATTTTGGGGCCTAATGATTTTTTAGTTCTTTACAAATTCTACAGAGCAGACCTTTGTCTGAGTGCTTATTAGTTAAGGTATTTCAAAATTTGGGGGTCATCTTTTCACTTTGTTGGTAATTTCTTTTGATGTGCAAAAACTTCTCAGTAAAGGAGGTCCCAGTTCTTCATTCTTTCAACTATTACCTATGCAATTTTATTTTTGTTCATGAACTCTTTGCCTATTCCTATGTCTTCAAGAGCTCCTCCTGCTTTCTCTTCCAGGAGATTTAGTGTTTCTTTTTTAATGTTTAGATCTTTAATCCATTTTGACTTTAGCTTAGTGCATGGTGATAGAGCTGGGTCAAGTTTTAGTTTTTGGCATGTAGAGAGCTACTTTTTCCAGCACCATTTGTTAAAGAGGCTATCTTTTTTTCCAGGGTGCATGTTTAGCCCCTTTATCAAAGATCAGGTAGTTGAGTGTGTTCATAGAGGCTTCTGCATCTTTTTTTTTTTTTTAGCAGAGTATAGTTATTGAGAGAAAGAAAGCTCCTGTCCCAAGAGAGGAACAGGAGGGGTGGGCCCAAGCAGGTAGTTCTTCCCCAGGAAGTTGTCTCTTGCAGGGACTTTTATAGAGGAAAACCATGTGGTGAGGCAGGTCTAAGGTGGTGGAGAAGACATAGGAACTTGCTTAGTTGGGCATGAGGTGGGACAAAACTATGGTCAACCAATGAGATTACAAGCACCATTGCTCAGGTAAAATTGATTAAATCCAGTATCAAATGGAAAAGCGAGTCACGTAGCAAGCGGGCACAAATAAAGAACAGGGTCTCTTCCTGTTGGGGGTTGGGCTAGTGACTCATTTGGGCTCTTTCAAGTTGATTGATACTATTTAGGATATCAATCCTTAATGCCCATCCCTAGGGAAGTATGTATCTGTGCTTCCTCTTTTTGTCTTGGTCTTGAGGTGTGGCCCATATAGGAGTGTCTGTCTCTTCCAAGTTGCAAAGTCATCTTTTCTCCTTGAGAGCCTGACCCTGTCTAACTGCCTATAATATTTCTATCTAACTTGGCTGCCTACAACACTTCCCCCTCTGAAGAAGTAACATGAACTGCCATGAGGGAACTATGGGCAATGACCGCTCTGGCTTCTTCAAGCTGAAACGGGTTGTAGCTGTTGACCAGCAGTCAGATATATTCTTCAGAGGTTCTATCTAAAAGCCCTCAATAGACAGCAGGCATTTTTATTACAGCTTTGAATCTGAAGACAAAGGCAAAGAAACTATTAAACATACATTGACCAATTAAAAACACTAGTCAGAATATTTTGTAGGTCCATTAGTAGATATCTCTTAAATGTGAGGTTTAATCCTTTTATCTTCCATGGCCATTGGGTACTGTCTCAAACAAACTGGCCTTTCCTATTATTACTGGGGAACATGAATTACCGGGCATAGGGAAAACAGTATTTTGCCATTTGCAAGTGGGCCACTGGCTGGGTAACTACTGACAAATCTGCATAAGCAATATATTGAA